TAGGTGGTCTAGAGCCAGCCTGTTGACTAAGACAGAGAGAGGGGTGGATGAAGTGGTCGCACCGCCCAATTACCATGCGTGTGGGCGGGTCCGTTTGAATGTCATCACCGCCCTTCTCCCTACCCACCCCCCCACTCCCCCCAGAAGGAGGTGCGTTGTGACAAGCATGATTCTGAAACTCCCCAATTCCCTAAGCCCCTCAGCACCCAAACCCCCCTCCCCCCCAAGCCCCACATCCTCTTTCTCAGCCCCTGTCGCCCCTCTATCCTCCGGTCCCCCGGAGACTTGACTGCCTGACCCTCTAATCCGGGACGAGACCTCAGCTAGACCTCCATCAGCAGGGGGATTAGAGCTGGTCGCACCCGGGCCAGCACCGGGGCGGAGACGTTTGTGGTGGCGGGAGGCAACGACTGAAGAGTCTCTCCGCTGAGAATCGCACAAGCGGGTGAACAAAAGGGAGCAGCTTACCTCCCAAATCAGACAAAGGGGGGGGGGGGGTGGCGGTAGGCAGATAGAGACGCAGGGCTGATAGAACACAGCAGACCTCTGTTTTCCCCCATATAATGGACTTTCTTCCCCCCCGACTTTGAGTAAAAGGGGAATTTGTGGCCTAAGAATTTCAGCCCACGCTGCACAGTCAGGGGTTGGGATGAGATATGAGCGGTACTATATTATAGTACTTTTCAAAAACATGATTTTATTGATTGGTCTTCTGTTTTTAGGGTGGTTCTGGTCTGGGAAAATTTACCCGGAATGTTCAGTGGCACACACGACCTGTACATGTGAGATATTAAAAGTCGCTGTCCTCCCGAATAGGTTTTACAGTTTTGCAGGCGACTAAGCATTACGAAATAAGAACATCAGCAGAATAACATATTATTAGTTTTTTTTTTATGGGATAGGCACCCGAAAGGAGCTAGATTGCCAACAGCTGGGGATCTTTTGACGTTTATGAAATGCTCAGTCGTTGAGGGCTTTTCCAGGACTGAGCTCGAGGGGGCAAAATGTTCATGCTGTTTTAGGGGTCCAAGGCCCAGGCTACAAGGGTAGCGTGATCGATACATGCATTCCCATGGGAATGTTCTGGAACAGTGATGTAAAGGGTAATCCTGGCTGCGGATGTTTGAATGATTCTTTGGGGTTAGCTGTGAGCAGTCCAGTTGTTTTAAAGGTGATGTGTGAAATTTCAAGGAATTCATTTTGTAGTTGACGGAGTAATTCCCCAGTCGAGGCTGGGCTTGTTGCCTTTTGCCATATATGGTATGTGTGCTGTATTTTCTTATTTATACAACATGTAATCTATTCCCTTCCTGCGAAAGTCCTCTTTGTGCATCTTTATCCACTGTTGAGTTTTGGTACAATGGTTAGATAGAGGAAAAAAAGCTTCAAACATTCAAGAGATTTGAAGGAGTTTCCCTCTGCACCTCCTGGAGGTCTCCTGCTCCTTTCTCTTAAGTGGGCATTGCTTCTCTCCCCGGTCCAAGAAAAGAGGAGTTCAGAAGGAGATCAGCATCGGATTGAACAAGGTAGCAATTGCCAGGCAGTTCTTCGGCCCTGATCAGACTTACTTTACTTTTCCTTGTTATTGTGTTGAATTTCCTTGGGCAGAACGTCATGGGAGAAACAGCATAACATAGAGGGGATAAAAGAAGATGTATAATAAATTAATTTATAGGATTGGCTCCAGATCCCCACGACAAGTGCTGTAGGAAATGAATGAATTAAGATATATAACTGTTGGGTAATGCTTTACATTAACTGCGCCTATAATGCCTTTATAATGCATTCATAGAACATTCATGAGCTGCTTTTAAATTTGCCTTAACATCATAACATGCCTTAACCGCTTTAATATTCACTAATATTAAACATCGAATACTTAAAATGCCTGTTATTATCACATATTGTTTGTTATTCATGTATATTAGAGCTGTTAAGGTATGTTAGGATGTTAAGGTATCCTTACATGTTGCTTATGAATGTTTTATGAATGCATTATGAAGGGGCACTGAATGTTCTACAAATTACTATAAAGGCCTTATGAAGGTGCAGTTAATGTAAAGCATTACCAAGTACTGGTTATCTCCTTACCATCCATCCATCCATCCATCCATCTTCCATGATGATTTACTCACTGCATACTCTCAGTGTGCCTGGAGCCTATCCCAGGATACGCCTGATACTCGGTAGGGGGTGCTGTGGAGGGGATGGTACTCCATGACTGCACACACACTATGGCCACATTCCTCGGCTTCTTTACTGAATAATCAGATGTCTTTGGCCTTTGAGGGGAAGCTGAAGTTCCCACAAAAAGGCTGCAAGCTCCTTGCACACAGAGCTGGCTATGGGAGACACGCATGACCCTGCGAGTGGGGGCCACGCTGCCCCCCAATGAGCCACTGTGACACACCCGCCCTTCTCATAATTAAAGAAGTTTTTATGAGTGAAGGATTCTTTTCTGGATTGCTTGGGTTAGATATTTAAAAGACCAGCAATTACTGTCTGCTAAACGAGCCCTTTTTCCAGGGCTGGAGAAGGCCGAGCCCCCGGTCTTGCTGTTAGAGGGGGATTTGTGAGGGAGTTTGTGAGGTAGGAGTGGGGTGGGGTTCTGTGGAGCTGCAAAAATGTTCAGTCAGGGTTTTGATGTATAATTAATCTTCCGATGAAAGGCTGTAGCATTCAGGGAAGAAAATGTTCTTATACATTCTTGACAAATGTTTATGAAGTTTACTTTTGCGAATTTAGCAGACATTTTGGTTCTAAATCTTGCACGACTAATTTTTGTTTAAATGCAATTTCTTCCCGTTTTATTAGTGCAGTCTCTCGACCACTCCGCTTTGCAGCTGTTTGAGTAACAGATGTGTTTTTTTCTTTAGCTGTGTGACTTCCTGCCTTTGCTAGTGTGAAGTGTTAGAACCTAAGTTACAGTACGGTGCCTGTCTGGTCCCTTTTACATGCAAATGGGTACGTTTATCCCAAATTTAGGGGGGTGGGGCCCACTGGCCTAAAGTTATTGTTGGAGCCCCTACCTACAGCATAAAATGCAGCTGTAATATCCATAAATAATAATAAAAAAAATTCTTTTTTTTTTTATTTTGGGGCCCCTTACACCTTGGGGCCTCGGGCTACAGCCTTTGCATAAATCCACCCTTGTTCCATCCATCTGTCCCCCCCGGTACTGCAGGGCTGTGGTCAGCCTGGAGCCTATCCTATGATGCATGGAGAACAATTCAGGGGAGCATCTTCGATGGTGCAGGAACAGGAATCAAACCCAAAGCCCTGGACGTGCTACAGAGCTAGCCACTTAATCACCATGCCAGCCCAGCGCAGGCTGTGTATAATGACTCATTTATAGCCCCGGCAGCGGCTGGGCACACCTGTGTCCTAAAGGTCCATCTGTTCTCCGTGATCCTGATGGCCACAGCTGCCTGCAGATGCAGCGTCGGGCCCCCTCAGCCAAATTCAGGAGCGTCCTCCACTGCGCAGCGCCAGAGGCGAACCGAGCGCTCTGCGCCGGGGGGAATGCTAATACGGGTGGGGGTTCTGCTTCTTTCATCCCCTTCTCTCAAGGGGGGTGGGTTTTGGGGGGGGCGCATAGCCCATTCTGGATGCAGACGCAGACTCCAACAGCCGCAGTAGATCTCTTGGACCGCATCTCCGGCACATAGAGGCCCGTCGCGGGGCTATCGATCACCTGCTCGAACCCAGGCTGCCGGTACAGTCAGGTTCAGGGTGGAGAGAAAGCCCCTCCCCCTTTTCCCGCTCTGGCATTCTGTGTGTCTGCAACTTAGTGACCATGGTGATGCTTAAAAGAGGGCGGGGAGGAAGGACAAAGTCCGGGAGAGCAATTTGAGGTCAGTGTGCCGACCTCTGCAGTCTGTGTTACACTGTGGGCCTTAGGCCCTCACCTCTATACTCTCTCCACTGTGGGTCTGAGGCCCTCACCTCTATACTCTCTCCATTGTGGGTCTGAGGCCCGCACCTCTATACGCTCTCCATTGTGGGTCTGAGGCCCTGACCTCTATACTCTCTCCACTGTGGGTCTGAGGCCCGCACCTCTACACTCTCTCCACTGTGGGTCTGAGGCCCGCACCTCTATACGCTCTCCACTGTGGGCCTGAGGCCCGCACATCTATATTCTCTCCACTGTGGGCCTGAGGCCCGCACCTCTACACTCTCTCCAAAGAAAGAGAAGAGGAACAACTGAATCCATGCAAAATGCAGAATTAGATGTCATTCTAAACTATATACAAATACAATTCAATGTCAAACACAACATATAACTTAATTTCTAAAAACAACTAAGATAATATAGTAGCACTTTACTTGAAGGGACACAAATAATGTAGTATTATGCTATTACTTGTGTATTACAGTAGTTAACCATAAACTAAGTGTTAGTTACAAACTGATCTCATGTTCATTCATCAGTAATGAACCATGATGCATCCATGTAATCATTTATGAACTACTGAAGGAACTACTGAAGGAATTTCTGTAGGAGCAAATAAAGAATGACTGATGTTACGTTACTGATGGTATGTTATGTTTGCTGAATCGTGACGCATCATTTATCACAGGCAGTTATATTTCTTACTGTATCTGTTAGTTCTGTAAATCTGAGTGAACTACTGAAGGAACTACTGGAGGAACTATTGAAGGAACAAGTAATGAATAACACAAGTGAAATACTGCTGTCATCTTTGTGAATCATTAATGAATAGTGACGCTTCTTTCATCTCAAGTAGCTACTATATATTTGTTCATATGGCCAAATTATGGTTAATCCACCTCAATGTTTCTTGAAGTTATTTAGATATTTAGACTTATATAAAACAAAGTATTATACATATTTAGGATATCTGTATCTCACGAGTCGTGCCAGACTCATTCCCTTTAAAATATACCTGTATCTTGCCATATTTAAATATACCTGCTCATGTGTTTATGTAATACTTGTAAGTTACATAAGGTATTTTAACGACAGAAAGACATAGAAATATTCTGACATTGTAATGTATTTATCTTTATTTAAAGATATCTTTAAACTGTCTAAAGATATATGGAGAACCACTTCCTGACTTATTAAAAATATATTTTACATTTTTAGACATAAAGACATTTCCAGATATCTTTAAACAGGCAGAAAAATAAGATAATTTATTTTCAATAGCCACTTGCCCAGTTAAAGATAATGAATTCATCTTCAGAGGTATTTAAATCATTTAACGATATCTGTGCACATGTTCTGCACCAAGATACACACAGATATACTCTTAAAATATTTAGAATTCTATTTTTGGATATCAGTTGGTGCATGGCTTTTGCCTATATGTGAATGTGATTAGTAGCTATTTCTGGCTGTCGCAGGTCCTTTCGGTCACACCATGAGCGCTAGCTGTACTCAGTGATGCTATACTGCTTGTTATACTCCAGACGTTTTCTTAATGGCCGATATGAATCGGGGTGCGACCAATGCCCCAGATCCCATCCCCCCTGCTGTTTGACATTCCAAATATTTGACACTCCAAATACTCCAGTTATAAATGAATCCACTTTATGCAATCAAAAATGGCTTTACTCTGCAGCAGATCATTTTATATTCTTATATTTTCATATTACCCAAGACCAAGTATTTTCTGTACTGGTTGTTATGATCAAAAGCGCCTGGTTATTACTTCCCATCAAACGCACTGAAAGTGTTTGAAGAACTGGCTTTTCTCAATGACCTGCGCTTTCTGCTGAAGAAATCTAATCCCCTCTATGAAAAAGATTCGGAACTTCATTACGCCTTCTTTTAGGGTGGTTATAAGGAAACATGTTGCCTCGAGAAAGTGTGGAACAAAGAGTTATTTAAACCCTTCAGTCGTTGACTGCTCTACCCCCAGCCATGAAAACATTTTACGACAAAGAGAAAGGTCTGGATTAGACTGGCTAACTTTTAAACAAAAACGAGAAACATATGGGAGAGTGGAAAACGATTCTGTATACAAAGCTTTTTTAAACATTTGAAATGTTCATAAGTAACAGACAAATCAGCTGCACCAGAGGTGGCCCATTTGATAATGCAGAAGCCTTACATCTACTCTTGAGGATCTGAGGATCTTTATTTGTGATATTGTTGCTGTCCCATTAGATGGCTCTTCCATGTATCCATTCTCGACAGAAAAACATTTAAATGTATTTTTCATGAGCTCATCCTGGTATTTGACAGGCATTGGATGGATCGCATCGCTTTGGTATCCCTTTGAAGGAGCTGGAGGAGATGGCTGGAGATCTGAGGACATTCCTGCTCAGACCACTGTCCCTGCAACCAGGACCCAGATGAGCAGTATAGAATGGATGGATGCTTATTTCAGAGGCGATCGATGTACATGAGCATCATTCTTTTGGATTTGCAGTCCGGCTTGAGTCCTGGTTATGAGTGCAATGCTGCAGTCACGGCTTCAAAGAAGGTCCATCCATTCATTTTCTGTAATTGCTTGTCCTATTCTGGGTTGCAGGGGTTTCAGAGGCTATCCTGGAAACCACAGGCACAAAGCAGGGAATTAACTCAGGATGGGGCACCAACCCATCTCAAGGAACACTCACACACCATTCATACACACCACGCGCACCTACGGGCAATTTGGTAACTCCAGTTAGCCTCAGCATGTTTTTGGGCTGTGGGGGAAAGTGGAGTACCCAGAGGGGACCCCACGATGACACGGGGAGAATACGCAAACTCAAACCCTGGTCCCAGAGGTATGAGGCAACAGTGCTAACCACTGCATCAGCCTTCAAAATAGATCATAAGCAGTACTGACAATGACACGGTTTGTGTTGCTTATATTGATCTTCTAAAGGCTTTTGGCTCCCATAGTTCATTCTACTCTTCTGCACAAACTCCAAACTATTGGCTTGGTGTGGCTACTGTTTGGAATGTTAAGTTTGAATATGCTTTATCTGGATCTTTACTTAGTCATAGAGGCATACCTCAGAGCCCCATCTTAGGTCCCACATGCTTCTTTATCTCCATAAATTATGCTGCAATGCAGCCTGAGATTTCTATGTGCTGATAACACAGTTCTCTTTGTGAGTGACTTGAACTCAGGTGTCTCTACCGTGTAGCTCAGTGGCTGTCCGTATTTGTTTATTTAGAACAGACACTTGTATCCAAAGTTAGGTGCAGTTCAGAGAGCAGAGTTGGACAGTCTCTAGAGCAATTGGTGGGGGGGGGGGTGAATTAATAGCTTAGTTTTGGGGCCAAATGGTGACATTATTCTGCTGACCCTGGGATTCAAACCAACAACCTTCTGATCACAGACACACGGAATGACGCAGGATATTAGCAAATAGGCAAATCGCAGTACATAATGGCAATGATATCGAGTTTGTTAATTGACCACGGAGACTCTGCTCCTCCCAGACTTTTCCGACTCACGTTCAAGGTCTCATACGGTCTGGTTTAGTCATTCTGATGCAGAAAATGTGCACTGTGGCTCAGATGACTTTAGCTGTGCAGTTATGGGGATGTAATTCATGGAACAGCTTCAAAACATCCCTCGTTGTGTTACTGCATTTTAATTTATAAAACAATTTATTGTCAGACACTACAAATTAAGATTATGTCAATAATCCCAAGGCCAATGCGTTCTGCCATTTCCTGCTGCCGATGATTAGAATGCACCTCAAATAATTCTCATTCATACTCAGGTCTCCTTAAGTATTTAAGTTTAAATTGACAGATCCTGCTTTATCACTGTGCTGCTTCTGCACCTGTGGCAATCTGCGACCTATTTACTGTAATGTTTTATTTCCCTATGGTATTTATTGAGCGTGGTTAACGGTTCTGTTATGTTTCTGTATTTGACGCCGTTTTATGCTGCTATTCATTGTTATTCAAGCTTGCATCCACTGTGTTTTGATATAATATAATTTACTGTGGGTTATTTGGACCTGTTGGGCAATCCAGCTCAGCCCTGCATGCACGTTCCCTTCGTTTTATGCGAGTTTCCTCTGGATTACTTTTCCTCTCAGTCCAAAGGCATGTGGTGATAGCTACATTTACATGAAATCATTTATCTGATGCTTTTATGATTATGATTCATGTGTGCTCCCTGGGATGAGCTCATATCTTTCTTATAGTACGCCTAGATGCGTGCATGCATGTGCTCTTGTGATGGGCTTCATTGAAATGATGCTTTATTTTCCATTTGCACAAATACGTTGGAATGCTTATTTTCACGTGTCCCATTTTGCACTCCTTGGACACACACACATACAGCCGGGGAAAAAATTAAGAGAACTCTCTATGTTTTTAAACAAGTCTGCATTTTTAAATCCTGGTTTAATCCTGGTTCTGCTGGTTGAAGGCTGCGCTGACCAGCAGAATGCTTCCAGGTTCAACATTTCTAAGGCAGCAGTGCACAAGAATAAGGTGAAGCAGGAGAAACTGGAAATGACCGGAAAACAGCCAGGTAAAGGGCAGAAGCAACTTTCTAATGCCAGAGAGGACCATCAACTTATCCGACAGTTTCTCATAAATTGGAGGATGACCTCAAGTGACCTTCAAAAGGAATGGGCAACATTAAGTACAGGTGTGAAGTGCACTGCTAGGACAGTTTATAACAGGCTCAAAGAAGCAAGATTGAAGTCCCATAAAGCAGTGAAGAAGCCCTTCATTAATGAGAAACGGAGAAGGACCAGGCTGCAGTTTGTAAAATATCTGTTAAATGAGTGAAACAAAAAAAAATTGTGCTGTGGTCTCTTAATTCTTTGTCATTTTTTTTGTTACAGTTGAGACTGAAGCCTGGGGTCTGACCATTCATCCGAAGCCAGTGGTGCATTTCAGGGGGTTAAGGGCCTCGCACAAGGGCTCCACAGACATGGTCGGGGCTCAAACTGACGACCTTCCGACCACAGGCCTAACCGGCTGAGCCACACGCCGCCCCATATGGCCACACAGTGTATCCCCTTTTTTCCTGCTGGCTTGTGACCTATAGCATCTGTAATAGCCTCCACCCCTCCCTCCCTCCCCCCCCACAGCCCTGTACTGGATATGCAGTTGGAAGCTGGATGAATGGACTTCAGTCCCTCCTGCTCTGGTCTTCAGTGTCAGTACAGCTTCTCAGATCCCTTTTGCATAACCTCCGTATGTTTCAATAAAGAATACATTACTTAGTGCCGTTTTCTGTTTGTTCGCCAGTGCTGATTCATTTACTGTAGCCAATCTGTTTGTTTAAAAATGAAATGTATATTACCGAATTGCTGCTTGGGCTGTGATGAAATATGACATACTCTTTTTTTTATGAAAACAGCTTGCCTGAATAAGTCCTATAAATTCCACATCCCTAAAACACACTTCTCATTTCACCAATAGGTTTTAAGTCGGGTGGCGCGATGGTTCAGTGGGAAGCACTTTATCCTCGTACCTCAAGGGCTGCGAGTGTAATTCCCAGCCCTGGTTCTGCGTATGGAGTCTGCATATTACCCTGTTCTTCTGGGTTCCCCTGGGCGCTCACCGTCCAGAATCACATTTAGGTTGATGTCTGTAAATTTCCCATAGTGTGAGTGTGTTCCCGGTGATGAACTGGCATCTCTGTGGTTTCTGGAAAGCACCAGGCTTGTGGTATCGGACGGTTATTATTTATGAACTGATTTGCACACAGAACCCTTCCTGGAATGACCAGTTCCCCCAATCCTGACTCTGTTTCAGAGGTAAGTCGAGTAAAAGCCAGAGCCGTCTGTGTTCCCCTGAGGAATGATGTGAGCGGAGATCTGCATGTGGATGTTTTTTTAATCAGGCTCTTACTAAGAGCGCCTACTCAGGGGTCCTAGGCCCTCTGTTTATTAGTCTATACAGATAATCCCAATTGGCCAGCTCAGTTTTGGCCTCCCCTGCCCCCTTCCATTGGACTTTTTGTGATTAAATATTTGATGTTTATATTCATTACTTGTCATCCTTCCATCGTCCTCAGCGGCTTATGGAGGTCAGGGGCGCAGAGAGCCAGGAGCCCGTCCCTGGGAGCAGTACACATAGGGCAAGGGACACTCTGGGAGTGTCTCTCAATACCAAGAACACAAAGATTATAATTGTGGTCTTGGCAAGAGCGTTTTTGTCAACTTGGGGTGCAGTGAATCATGGGATTGGACTCGTTTGATAAGGATGCAACCGATGTATCCTTGACATTTAGGGCAAGAAGTAATCCAGGGATTTTTACCGTCCTCCGTACTTCTGTTCATGACTATTGGAACTGGTCTTGGGCAATGGAAGATGATGTAAAATGGTACATGAGAACACAAGTACGGTCAAGTACGCAAGTTGGGAACCTCCCTGGGTCGTATCCTAATCCATCACGAGAAAAAGTTGTACACAGACTTTGTCCTTAATTATTTATAATTAAAGTTACAGTTCCCTAAATAAAATTCTTGTATATATTCAACTAACTTTCAACTAATCTTCTATTCAAATAACTAAACCAGCTTCTAGTACTACATGTGTTGTGCAATTAGTATAAGGCTGTTTTTGCCTAAACTGTCCATTCATGCATGCGAACTGGCGCTCAAAACCCAAGCAGGTTTTCCAGCTTCCGGTTCCTTCTGTCTGTCTTGATCCGAAAATTGCCCCAATCGGCACGGTGGCCACAGTTTTTGCAGCATCTTTACGTTCCACTCGTTTAGTCTCAGGTCTCTTCTCTTCCTCTCTTTCTGTCTCTTGCATTCCCTTCATTTTTGTCCTCTGCCACTTGCCTCTTTATTTCTTATCTGTTTTCCTCACCACCTCCTCACCCCTTCGATCTCTCTCTCTCTCTCTCTCTTACAGCCTCCCTCCCCCCTATCCTATCCTGTCGTGTTTTTAATTTATTTATAATTAGTGGTCTTTGTCAGAACGGGGGAGGGTGGGGGGGTATTGTAATACCAGGCAGTCACGTCTGGATACAAATAGACCCCAATTCCTCCAGAGGCCCTAGGGTGGGGGGCATGGTTACAGCCCTGCCCATCTTGCAAATCCCCCCCCCCACCCCCCCCCGCCTACTGCAGACATTGCTCCTCTCAACCTATTCGGAGGCTTAAATGAAACCTGAGCAGTTGCCATTTGAATGATAGTGTTACAGAGATGTGGGCACGCTGTAAAGCAGCAATGGGATTATGCTGCAGATTCACTTTTGATACACGGACGCTACACTACAAGTCAGAAAACAACTGGCACGGAGGATCTGACAGATGAAAACTCTGCGTTTAGTCGAGTTTTCCACCTCTGTACTTTGTCGGCACTTATATCTATTTGTGTATCTCTATACAGTAAATTTTCCTCTGTTAGTCGGTCTGCTCATGTCAGAATAGGCTTATCTGTAACAGTGGGAGCTGCCAACCCAAAAGAATCCAGATAATCTCTACAGTTTCAATTCAGATATTCGCCACAGTTTCACTACACCACTCCTATTACGGTGCTACTACATAGAGTATGGTAACCACTACACCACTCCTATTATGGTGCTACTACATAGAGTATGGTAGTCTGTCTGGGGGAGCTTCAGC